TTCTCCCCATCCCTCCCATGCCTCATAATCAGCAAAGATTTTTTCTTTTTGTGTGTAAACTTTTACATGAGTTTTTACAGTAGAGGTCTCGTACAATATTTGTCCTTTTGTGATTGAGTTATTTCACTCAGCATAATGTCCTCCAGTTTCATCCATGTTTTGAGATTCTTCACAGATTCATCGTTGTTCTTTATCTTTGTATAATACTCCATTGTGTGTATGTACTGTAGTTTGTTTATCCATTCATCTGTTGATGGGCATCTAGGCTGTAAACAGTGATTCAATGAATATGAGTGTGCATATGTCTATTAGTGTGATGGCTCTTATTTCTCTAGGATATATTCCTAGGAGTGGGATTGCATTTTATAGTGCTTTTTTTTGTGGTGCTGACGTTTTCTTTGTCCCTCTAACTCTCCTGTGCTGAGTTCCTTTTGTTTGTGGAATTTTTTATTTCATTTCTTTTTATTTTTGTAGATTTTGTTTTTACTGAGACTTTATGTTTTTCTTCTTCATTCTGATGAGTAGGTTTGTTAACTTTGCCTGTGGTTACCTTGAAATTTACCCTTGTCTTCCTAGATTTGTACTAGTCTATTATTACTTGGTATCGTTTGACTTCCTCTCCATTAGAAGGTTCTTTACCTACACCATTTATTCCCTCTTTATTGTTCTGATGCTGTTGTCATTTACAGATTAACCTCTCTGGTTTCCTTTTGTAATTCTTTTGGTTTTGCATAGTCCTTAAGAGTTCATTTGCTAGATTGGTATCTGGCTAGTACAATCCTGTGTCCTATATTCAGCCTGTGGTCTGATATTGTTTATTCTCAGATCAAAGAACTTCCTTTAATAAGTCTTGTAAGTTTGGTTTAGTTTTTACATAGTTCCTTAATTTCTGTTTATCTGGAAACGACCTAATTTCACCATCATATTTGAACGAGAGTTTTGCAGGATATATTATTCTTGGCTGGCAATGATTTTCTTTCAAGGTTTTACATATGTCATACCATTGCCTTCTTGCCTGCATGGTTTCTGCTGAATCATCCGAGCTTAGCCTTATTGCTTCTCCTCTGTATGTCACTTTTTGGTTTTCTTGAGCTGCTCTCAGGATTCTTTGTTTGTCTTTGGTTTTAGCAAGTGTGGTTATTATATGCCTTGGTGATTTTCTTTTGGGGTCTATCGTATATGGGGTTGGTTGAGCTTCTTGGATGGCCAGCTTTTCATCTTTCATGATATTGGGGAAGTTTTCTGTCAGCAATTCTTCAATGATCCTCTCTGCGTTTTCTGTTTTCTCACCATGTTCTGGAACTCCTATCACTCACAGATTTTTGCTTTTGATTGTATCCCACATAATTCTCAGGGTTTCTTCATTTTTCTTCGTTCTTTTTTCTGATTTTTCCTCAAACCGAGTTGTATCCAAACGTTTGTCTTCAATTTCACTGATCCTATCTTCCATCATTTCAAACCTGCTCCTCCGCCCTTCTATGACACTGTCCATTTCTGAAATCTTGTTGTTTATCTTTTGGATTTCTAATGGTTGTTTTTGTATGATTTCTAGTTGTGAATTTATTTTAGCATTTTGTTCCCATATTATTTTCTTGAATTGTTCAATTTTTTTGTCTGTATGTTCCATGAATTTGTCTGCTTTGTCCATGAATTTGTCAGTTTTTTCTCATTTTTGTCTGCTTTTTGCTTCAACTCTTGGATAGCTCTGAATATTAGAGATTTGAATTCCCTATCAGTTAGGCCTAGTGCCTTTTCTTCTACTGGAAGGTCATCTGGTGTTTTATTTTGGATGCCTACTGGAACCATCCTGTCTTGTTTTTGTAAATGTTTTGATATTGTCTGATTTCTTCTTGGCATTCAGTGGTTACTTTCCTCATTTATTGATTGTAGATTTGTTTGTTTCATCCTGTATTTTTGTTTTATTTGGTTATATCTGAGCAGGTGGGCTGTGCGTTCTTTGTTGTTTGCTTGTCTGTAGGGGTGATACTTTTCATCTCTTTCTCCAATGTACAGGGTCAGTCACTCAGGTATGGTACAGCAGGGCAGGTCCAGCTGAAGGGGAGTTGCTGGGATAGGTTTTTTGTGGCACGCACCAGGGCTGACAGTGAGGACTGGGAATCAGTGCAAGGCAGGTTCCAATAGGCTGTGCCTATGTTGCTTGGGAGTGTGATGTTCAGCACACGGTGCAGCTAGGCAGGAAGGAGGGGGTAGACTGTGATGTGTGGAGCTAAGATGGGTATGGGAAAGATGAGAGAGAGGAGAGAGAAATGGGAGCCAAAGACATACACACAAACAAAAAAGAGTGCTAAGGGAGCTTGCTATTGAAATGTAGAGATGAAAGACTGAGAAATGGGGAAAAACAAAAATTAAAAAAAAAAGAAAGAAAAAGGGTAAAAGAAAAAAATGAATAAATCGAGAAACTGAAAATGAAGAAAGACAAAAAGGGAAAAAGAGAGAGAAAAAAGTAAACAAAGAAATAAAAAAATAAAAAGACAAGAAAAAATAAAAGCCCCCAGGGAAGTCCCTGTGCATCTGTGCCAAGTAAGGGACTAGCTTCCAAGTCATGCGGTACTGCCCAGCTAGAAGGTTCTCCCAAGCAGAAAAAGAAAAAGAAAACAAACAAACAAAACAAAACAGAAGAAATCAGAGCAAACAAACAAACAAACAAAAAAGCCCCAGGGGTCCCACCAGAGTGGCAGCACGGACTGGGAAGCAGTTTCACAGTCAAGCGGTGTTTCACAGCCTTCAGGAAGCAGCAAAGATGGCGCACGGAGCCAAGTATTTGAGAGAAAGGAGGGGGAGATGGTGAGAGGTAAGGAAGAAATCTAAAAAAGTGGAAAAAAGCAACACCAGCAGCCAACAAATGGCACTCAGGGAGCTGGCCAGTGCGGACGGGTGGAATCCAAGTGGCACTTGGGGGAAGCTGTGCTTCCTGGACAATGGACTGTGGCCTCAGGAAGCAGAGGGGGCTATATAGGGGTAAAGAAGGGTGGGATGGTGCGAAAGCCTATATCATGGGTTACCGGTTGTTCTGTCTCCTGCTGGAAGCTCCGTGAAGCTGCTTTCTTGTACCTCCTGTTCGCTGATCTCTGATAGGAGTCCAAGATGGCGGATCCATGCTGTGGTAGCTGATAGAGGACCTCTGCGTGTACCTCTGCTCGCTCTCTGTTCTCAGTCAGTTTCTTATGCCATTCGGCGCTTGGTTGAGTTCTTTATCTCTTCATTTGATGGTTAGGGTTTCAGCATTGACGTGAGACTCTGTTTGACTTAGTTTTTCTGATCTTTGCTGCAGAGGGACAGTGTGGTACTTCTGACTATAGCGCCATGTTGCCTGGAAGTGGACCATTTTTTTTTTTTTATTAGAAAATGATTAAATTTTGTGGAGGTAATTTAACTTGTAGACAATTTTGAGTATGAGATTTGTTGTCTTTGTTTTAAAAAGAGAGACTAAAAAGCCTTAGGACAATATTAGAGACATAATACTACCAAGTTGAGATTTCATTTTCTTAATGTAGTCAAAGACAATAAGCTAAATTTCAAAAGAGTATTGCCCTCTCAATGTATGATACAATCTGTTTTAAAGCCACGTCTGTTTACCATCTAAAATAATCTCAAGTATTACCAATAAGATAGCTCTGCAGTTTGGAAAACACAGAATTTGTCAATCTATACATACAATTGCAACTAACGGTTCTGTATCATTAAAAACCAGTGTCTGTGGGCTCCAGCTATGTCTGCCACACTTGATCTAGGCTAAGGTAGAAAACTCACCTAGATCTTACCTAATTCCTCAACAGTGGAGAGAATAGCACTCAGAAGTGCACACTTCCGCAGTGCATTCTTCCATTACCTTTGTGTAAATCCTGTTCTGATTATATTATACAGAATAATATATGATTATCCTATACAGAACATTATACAGAATAATATACAAAAATATATTAATAAGTCATGCAATAGGTAACAACTGAGTACTTCCTGACCATAATATATGTCTTACAGTTACATTGTGCAACATGATCATTTATTATTTTTTGGTGAGTACAAGTTATTCTAGTAGAACTCAATAAATTGTGCAGAATTCAAACTACTTGTGCATTCAATTAGCTTTTTTTATTTTGGTAATTTGCACCATTAATTTTCATGATTGTAGGGTTTCCCTTAAAACATTCTTCAATACTAAAATACAAATAGAAGACATAAATATTTTTCTAATTATTTTTCAGTGTCATGAATTGATAAAAATTCTACTTTTTGCTGCATGCATTTCAACTTTTTTTTTTTTTTTTTCCCTGTAACATATCCAGTAAAACTGATTTTCCAAGCTCAATATGCAGTCTTCCCTTTGAGCCCCCCATTTCATGGAACATTATCCACACTGCAAATCAAGCAGCTCAAGAATTAGGCAGATTTTTTTTTTAATTGCAACTGCATTTTTTTTTTTCCTAAATCATATCCATGCAGACTATTCCTGGAGGTGATCCTTATTATACTAGGGGAAGTGAATATGACATAAAATTAAAATTGTGCTATGAACAAAGAACATAATTGAAAATTATCAACAGAGTTTCCTACATTAAGTTAAATTAAATTTTGTTATCAAAAAGTTATAAATAATAGTATAGAACATTTTCTGTTTTAGACTTATATTTAAAACATATATTAAAATCTGCAGAACTTCTTTCTTTTCTCCCTCTCTCCCTCCCTCCCCTCTTACCTTTCTTTCTAATGTATCTTGAAAAAAAATAAATAAAATTTGAAGTAAATGTGTATTTAATGTCATCAATAGAACAGAATATTTGAGAAAAATATTAGAGAAATCAAGTATGATTCCCAAGAACAAATATAATAAATATTAATAACGTATGAATTAGCTTCCATGATTTTGTGATGAGTTTTACGTGACTATGATCATACTGCAAATGTTTATATCCAAATCTTTGTTCTGTTTTTTTTCAGATGCCTAACTATGCATACATAGCATACAACAAATTCAATATATGGAAATCCAGAGGGACATCTCAGAATTCATTCTTATGGGACTTTCCTATGACCAGAACATACAACTATTCTGCTTTTGGCTGTTCTTATTCTGTTATGTTGCCCTCTTGATGGGTAACCTTCTGGTCCTTGTCTCCATTCGATGCAGCTCTTTTTGTCACCAACCGATGTACTATTTCCTCAGCCACTTATCCTCCATAGATATCTGGTATACCTCCTGTGTGACACCCAAACTCATTAGTCACCTGTTAGTGGGGACAAAAACCATCTCCTATGGTAGCTGTACGTTACAGGTCTTTTCCATGCACTTCTTTGGAATCACTGAAATCTTCATCCTTACAGTTATGGCATTTGATAGGTGTGTTGCCATCTGCAAACCTCTCCACTACATGATAATCATAAATAGGACAAGATGTAATCTCCTAGTCTTGGCTGCTTGGGCTGGTGGGGCTGTCCATTCTTTTTCCCAGTTTTCTATGATAATCTGGTTGCCTTTCTGTGGCCGCAGTGAAATTGATCACTACGACTGCACTATTTTCCCTTTGCTGAAAATTGCCTGCACTAATACCTATGTCATTGGTTTCCTTGTAGTTGCCAATTCGGGTAAGGTTGCCTTAGTAACCTTTGTTCTCTTGTTTGGATCTTATGTTATCATATTATTCACCTTAAGAAATCACTCAGCTGAGGGAAGATGCAAAGCCCTGTCTACCTGTGGGTCTCATATCACTGTGGTGGTCTTATTTTTTGGGCGTTCAATCTTTGCCTATCTTAGACCTCCTACCATGTTCCCTGAGGATAAAATATTTGCTCTGTTTTACACCATTTTTGTTCCTATGCTCAATCCCTTAATTTATACTCTGAGAAATACAGAGATGAAAAAAGGCTATGAAAATGGTTTGGTGTCAAAAGATATTTTCAGAAGAATAACATAATTGTTTTGTCATACTCAAAAAAAGACAAAAAGTTTTATGCAGGCATAAAAGTGGACTTGGAATCAAGGAGCTCTATTAGCGGTCAGATAAATAAACTCGACTTTCTCATGTTATAGAGTTCAGAAATGATGAGCGGAAGAGTAACAAGTAAAGTGACAATTTCACTTGTGGGACAGAGATAGGGTAGGGGCATAGTTGTATGCAGACGGGCTAAAAGAACAGTGGCTGTGCTATATAGAGTAGGCAATTCTGAGGTTGAACTTGAATTTTAATAATAATTTTAATATCATTTCTTTGTGAACATTAAACATGGAAACTTTTGACATTGTGTAGAAACAGAGGGCATTAAATGTGCTTTTCAGAAAATTTAAAAATAATTAAGCTTTATTTGCTAGTAGAATATTTAACTAAATCATACACGATGACACTCTGAAATAAATTATGTAATGAAATGAAGTCCACAGAGTATAATTTTGTTTAAAGTGTGAAGAAAAAGGGGTAGTAATATCTATGCTCTGGGTGGTACAGAGCCTTTGCCACCCACTCCACACCACCTCTTTGAAGTGTTATAGGCCGGGGCAAAGATTTTAAGGGCCTAGTGACGGTTTATACTGGAGCCCTGGTGGCACAGTCGTTAAGAGCTTGGCTGCTAACCAAAAGGTTAGCAGTTCGAATCTACCAGCCATTCCTTGAAAACCCAATGAGGCAGTTCTACTCTGTCCTATAAGATCACTGTGAGTTGGAATTGACTCGATGGCAATGGGTTTACGGACAGTTTACATTTTGGTTATAGTGTTTACTACATCCCATACATTCAGAATGTGGAATGACAGGATGAGAAAATTAATAGATTTATTAATAGAGCTCTACCAGATGAATGGCTACATCTCTTCATTTGGAAAAAACTAAAACTAAACATATTAACTTATCCTGATATATAGATAGAGATATGAATTCAATAACCATCCTAGTGGACAGGGAATAGGGCCAAGAAGCCAAAACAAGAATTTTTCTTTAGCATAATTCTTTCTGTGGAATTTTTTCTTTCCTTTTAATATAAAGAAAAGAAACGACAATTACATGTGGAATAAAAAACATAACACGATGGCACTTGGATAAAGCACATCAATTACAGATAACGCGACAAGTAGATTTCTGAGAAAAATTCACCAAGGGAACCTGAAGAAAATGCAAGAACATATTTTTGTATCATCAATACTGTCAATTTATAGAAATTATGGAAATGAAAAGGGCTTCAAAGCAACCAAACCAATTAATTGCCTTCTAGTCAATTCCAATTCATAGCGATCCTATAGGACAAAGCAGAACTGCCCCAAAGTGTTTCCAAGGCTGTAATCTTTATGGAAGCCGACTGCCACATCTTTCTCCCTAGGAGCAGGTGATGGGCTCTGACCACAGAACTTTTGTTTAGCAGACGAACGCTTAAACCACTTGACCGCCAGGGCTCTTCCCTCAAAGCAAAAGCCCCTCAAATTTGTTTTCATCACAACTCTTTACATAAAGAGCAAGAGGATTCAATCATTGTGGCCCAGAAGGGAATGTCTAATGACTGAGGCTGCTAAATTACATGCAGCTGAGTTAATTGTGGCTCGCATACCCTTTATAATCCAGATTCTTTTCCAGTGGTGCAGTGGGTGTGATAACACAGATCTAAAGGAAATTCACCTGGTGAGTTGAGTACTTGGGGAGGTAAATCCAAACAACATGCGAGGGATTCTTAATGCTCTAAAATAAAAAGAAACTTAGCTTTAGAATTTCTGCTTAGTATTTAGTCAATCGTGTGAGCCTGGATACCTCTTGGAATAATTTTAGGGATGCAAATAGAGATTGTGATTTGACTTGTTTGTATATGCAAATTATTCTGCTTGCCTTTGAACTGTTGCTCTGAATATATGACTTCCCATCGTTTGTGGGAACACTGGTTGAATAAGACATCAGTGGTCCCTATGAAGGTATAAGTCCCCTACACCCCAAGAATAGTGAAAGGACTATGTTGAGGGAAAGGTGAGTTCAAGAAGCTTCAATGAAATAATCTGCACAGTAGGAGAATGGCCAGCATGTCACTGAGGAAACAGAGCAAATAAAGGAAAGAAAGCTTAGGAACGGAGACACAGCAACTGAAGTAGAAGCACCTGGGGTGAATTATTTCTCCTCCCTTCCCTTTATCCTGCCCAAGTATGTGATATCTATTCAAAGTAGTTTTGACTCCATATTATAAATAACAGATTGATTGGCAATTAAAGTTAAATATAGGCATCCTCTCTGAATTTTATGGACTAATTTGTTTTGAGATTAAGACAGCAATAAATTCAAGAAGCTGTCCACTGAAGATGTAATGTAACGTTTTTAAAGGACAAGCATTCAGTCAGTGACAGGGAAATTATTCTTAGCTGGGTAGCAATTTTCAAAACAGAAGACAACATCATTAGCACTTCTGAGAGAAAGTCAGCAAAGTATTGTAAGGAAAAAGTGATTGACAAGTTACCAAGAAAGTGGGAAAACCCCAACCAAAAGGACAGATAAGCTCCCTGCAATAATCACTACCCTGATCATACTTCCTCCTCCCTCTCAAACAAAACATCAAACAAAACTTAACCAAAAACCCCAAGTAGGGCACTAAATATCAAATGGAAATATCTTAAAACTAGAATCTGTGTTTACCTTATCTCTATTTACTTTGTTTCCTATCCTTGTTTCCTATATATAATGATCATGAAGATATGGTTTTACTTGTTTAATATCTTACATGTAACATATACTGTTTTTAATGTTTAAAACTTATTTCCCCATTCAACAAATATTTACTGCTTATTGGTTACATTAATGGTAGCATGCATGATAGAATAGAGGTCAAAGAAATGGAAATAGTTACTTCTTGAACTCCTACCATGTAAAGGGTGACACTTTCATACACTTTATCTAGATTAATTCTCACAATAACCCTCGGGCATAGCTATCATTATCCTCAATGTACACATTAGCAACATGATAGTCTTAGAGACTACATTATATGCCAGATGTCACATAGGTCAGGAAGAGGTAGAGCTGGAATTCAAAATTAAATTTGTCCAAACATTTCCCAATATTTCAAGGAGCAGTATAAGACAGTCTGTCTGCCCTTGAGGAGCTTGGGATCATGCATTTTAAGCATTTATGGAGTTTACTTGGGTATGAATTGAAGATTGAAAGACTTGAGCTAGTGATTTTTCTGTTTCAAATCATAATAGTATCAAATATTTATTGATTACACACCGAGAATCAGGCACGCTGCTAAGTGTATAATATTTTGTTCAGTGTCTTGCCAGGTGAAATATTTGCTGCTTTAAATCATGATGACTCTACCACTTATTAGCTCCAGAACCTTGGATGGTTACTTAACTTCTATATGCTCGGTGTCTTCTTTAGGAAAATGAGTTTACTAATTATATATACTTAATAAGATTATTGTAGAGTTCCTGGGTGGTGCTAACAGTTAAAGCTCTCAGCTGCTACTCCAAACTTTGAAGGTTTGAGCCCACCCAGAGGCATGCTGAAGGAAAGACCTAGTGATCTGCTTCTGAAAAATAGTCACTGAAAACCCTATGGAGCACAGTTCTACTCTGACATGCATGGAGTCACCATGGCTTGGAGTCAATTCTAAGGCTAATGGTTTATTTATAGCTGCAGTAACGTCCCTCATGTTAGAGAACATGAGGAGATTCAGCACTTTTCATTCAGATATGTGAGCTGTAACTTTCTTACTCTGTATAGGTGAGCTACATGAGTAGGAGAGAGGAACAGGAGTTTGTAGTTTTTGTTTGAGTATTATCTATCATTTTTATAGACTAAAAGTTTGAGTTTTACTTATTATCCAATTACCATCTACATAGTAAAATTAGGATTGATGAGATAGTTTAATGCCAGTAATCTGGGAGGTTATCTGGTTTTGCATGAAAGAATTAGGTAATTATGAAAAAGTAGGGGTTTTAACATCAAATTTATTCTCCTACTTCCTTTCTACATCATTTGTGGCTATGAACTCGGGCTCTGAACTCAGAAATTTCAAGTTTCAAGGTCTGGTTTGGTAAATGCTGTCTAGGTGTTCTACATACACTTAACGCAGGAAAGCCTCAACTAATTTTTACCTTTCTAAGGTTTAGTAAGGAACTCTTGTGGTGCAGTCGTTAAGCACTTGGCTGCTAAACCAAAAGGTCAGACGTTTGAACCCACCAGCTGCTCCATGGAAGAAAGATGCGGCAGTCTGCTTCCGTAAGATGACAGCCTTGGAAACCCTTTGGGCAGTTCTGCTGTGTCCTACAAGGTCTCCAGGAGTCAGAATCAACTCAAAGGCAATGGGTTTTTAAGGTTCTATTACTCTTATATGTGCATCAAACTGAACATAATACCATACCTGTATATCATGTTATTGTTTTAGAAATTTGCCTTTATCTCTTTTTAAATGTGAAAATCAGAATTCATTTACTGATTTAATTAAGGGACACTTTTATCTCTCTGTTATAGATGAAGAAATATCGTTGAAAGAAATGGAGTCACTTGTACAGTTCAGACCTAAAATCAATGGCTGAGTTAAAATTAGAAACCAATGTAAAATTATTGTTGTCTGCACTTGAGTTGATTCTGACTCATAGCAACTCTATAGGACAGAGTAGAATTGCCCCATAATGTTGCTTTCCTAGGCTGTAATCTTTACAAAAGCAGATCACCAGGCCTTTTCTCCTGCAGAGTCGCTGATTGGATTTGAACCACCAAACTTTCAGTGAGCAATCAAGGGCTTAACCATTGTGCCACCAGGGCTCCTTATTCTAAAAGTGTTGTTGTTATTAGGGAGCTAGAAATACAGGTGGAAGTTTATACATACTGAATCATTCATTGGTCTGTGGGGAAGATGACATGAAAAGGAAGAATTGCCAAGAAGAGAAATAAAGCCTCAACTGTGGCCTTGGAATTAGAGAAATTTGGAGATTCATACACTTATTCAGCAAAACTGTCTGGTTAGAATGTCAGAATACATTTAATTAGTAGGGATATTAATTTTCTACCAATAAATACAAACAG